AACTGCAAAAAATGAGAAAAAAGAGTTTTATTGAGATGGAAAAATACAGAATTTCAGAGATTATTGGCCGTTTAGCCGGACTCGGAAGTCTATGGCCTCCAGTCAGGTAGGTCCGAATCGTCGGAAATGAGTATCTTCTTCATTTTGAGAAGACAAAAGTGTGAACATGATTGACCCGAACAGAAACTTGCAGCAGGCCACAGCCTTCGGGCATAGCAACATGTGAATTGATGGGTAATATGAGGTTGAAAAAGCATGGGCTGGCTGGATGTAGGTGTGAAAGTTGAGCGGCTGAGTGTAGGGGAGCTAGAGGGTCTTTTCGTAATATTCCTATTTGCTAGGCGGCCAGAGGAGAAGCTAGCGGTTTCGCTGCCTACTCATTTGGAATATGAGTAGTGCAGTCGAATTGAATAAAAAATGCAAAAAGGTGATATGATAGGGGCCTGGCTGGTCGTGGAATTCAGGTTACCGATGTTAAAAACGAAAGGATTATGAATAAACAACACGTATACTCTTCTTTTTGTACTTTGGGAAGGTGAAGAAAAGCCGACAGGTTTGGCGAATCGTGCTCCGATGGTCAGGACTCGGTCGGATCAAGCAGGCGGGCATTAACGAAACAACGTAACTCAACTTGACAAACTTTCGATGCCAACGCGATGGCAACTTGCATCGTGTGAGGTTGTGAGATTCGCTTAACAATTGTGAAGAAAAGCTATTTTAATGGTTGGTTGGTATGTTGGCCACTCCTAGTCTCACTTCCGCAGAGTTGGGCAAGACAAGAGATTAGACCTTTAGAAAAAAGTATCTTTTCATCATCTTTTCATCTTTTCGCTCAAAGTAGAGTCGAATGACAACTGTCAGTCTCATCGTGTGGAGCAGAACCGCTGAAGCTGTATCTATCCTTGACGGAAGACAAATAATTCTTGACGTTGGTACTACCAATTTGCTTTATTGTCGCTCTGATCGCTATTCCTTGACTATCTACGATCTAGTCTTTGTAAGACTGCATACTTATTCGGTGCTTTATGATTTTTTCTTTGCATTCTTTGATACCCACCCTGAGCACTTGATGAGTTTGATTTAGATTTCTCATTTTTAATCTGGCCTAGAATGCATATTTGATGTAGTAAAGTCTAATGTGAACTAGTAACTAGACCAGCCGGGTTCGCTTAGGGGGATTTAAAGCTGAGACGATTAAGTTATTATTCAAGAAAACTACTCGTGCCAAGAGCATATTATAGAATAGTGGGTCTTTTCGTAATGTTCCTATTTGCTAGGCGGCCAGAGGAAAAGCTAGCGGTTTCGCTCCCTACTCAATTAGAATATGAGTAGTGTAATCTAATTTAATAAAAAATGCAAAAAGGTGATATGATA